AGTTTCACTTTCTTCTGCATGTCACTATAAGAACAATGCCTGGCCCATGAAAAATGGCGGCGGACTTTCAGATTCAATGTCAAGTTAATAACAGGAGTAGCCACGGCTCAGTTCCCATTGTCATGAGGAAATGGAGGCCCTGTATGCCATATTGCTTCTTCAGAAGTCAGGAATCCATATTTTTATATGAACCCTCCTATTTTTGAAATACTGGCAACTATTTTTTTTTAATATGAACTGTGTTAGCTTAATGAAGCATATGTATGAGCCAGAGGTGTCCCATAAGCCACCACTCTGTGAACTCAGAATAGTAAACAACTTAACTATAACGCAAGTCAGAATGAAAACAGGGGTATAATGGATGGTGATGAGCACTGGATGTCATACACAACCAATGAATCATTGAGCACTACATCAAAAACTAATGATGAATATATGTTGGCTAACTGAACATAATAAAAAAAATTTTTTAAAGATTTTTATTTTTTTTTATTTATTTGACAGAGAGAGATCACAAGTAGATGGAGAGGCAGGCAGAGAGAGAGAGAGAGAGAAGGAAACAGGCTCCCCGCTGAGCAGAGAGCCCGACGCGGGACTCGATCCCAGGACCCTGAGATCATGACCCGAGCCGAAGGCAGCAGTTCAACCCACTGAGCCACCCAGGCACCCCATAATAAAAAAATTTTAAAGCAGGATGCCATTGGAACACATGGAATGGAACAATCACAAAACACACACTGTCATATTAATGAATACATTTAACAAAAAAATAGCCTAGGTGCCCCAGTTTGTATAGGAGCAAAGCCAAAGCAGGATTGCCATGCCCCAACCTTCGTTTGGCCTCTGGAGACACACAGCTTGTCTAGTTATAGTCCATGACTTGCTCTCTCACTTATCTTTGCCTCTTGGATCTTGGCAACAAAGACAGAAAGTGAGGGAGGAATGATGATCAAAACAAATAAAATAAGCTTGGAAAGGAGCAAGGTGTTCTTTCAGAAAAGCACTACAGGAAATGAGTTCCAGAAAAATGATTCTTAAGCACTGATTCACTCTGAGTTCATTCCTAGGTGTGCCCGTTGACTTTAGCCAATTTGACTGTAATTTCCAGTACCGTACTTTCAGATTCCCACTTTAGTCCCTCGCCTTATCTCGTCTGTCTCTTAATGAACCAGAACATTCTAACCTGTGTTTGCCACTTAATCCTACCTCACCTCAAATTCGAATTTCCCTCTAATGAAAAGACTCCTAAATGCTACTTTAAAGCTTATCTGGACTATTCTATCTCAACTTATTTCTACAACCATCCTTCATCCTTTCCATTTTCCTAATTTGTGACCCTTTCACAAATACCTCTGTGTAGCCCCAGAAGTCATGGACTCTTTTATGATTTACCTCAGGAAATTGGTTTCCTTGGATATAGCCACAGCCCACAAAACTAATATTCATAGTCCTCTTGGGACTACCTGGAATCCCAGGTGAATTTTTCTGATGGCAAGTTATATAAAGAGGTTCCAGGACATATGGGACATAAAGAGTCAGATGCAAGGACAGTCACTGAGGCATTGTTTGTAACAGAAAAAGACTAGATAAATCCCAAATGTCCATCACTTGGAGAATGGTTAAATGTACTAGGACACAACCATACTGTGCATTGTTATGAATGTTTCGTGTACGAATGGAAACAGCTTGTCTCAGGTTGGGTTTGCCGGAATGGAGCCTGAGACAAGGATTCTTGTGCCCAGGATTTACTGGGGAGGTGCTCTCAGGAAAAGGCAGTAAGTCAAGCAGGATAGTGCCAGGAGGAAAAGGTAGGCAAGAATTTGGTCTTAGCTGGAGACTAGCCTCAGTCTGATCCCATTAAGACCATCTGGAGTATAAACTGTGCTACAGAGTATTCCCTCCCCTCCACAACCAACTTGAGGAAATAACCTTTGTACCCCCATGTCCATCAGTCAAATGGTTCTCCAAATGTTGGAGTTCCTTTCTCCAGAGCACAGTTACCCAAGTAAATGGCCATGAGTCCTTCTGAGAAAGGACCGATGAACTCATGACGTGCAGTGCTACTGCAGGGTCCCCCCTCCCAGGAGGGACTTGAACCTGTTTAGTCCATGGGTTCTGGGTCTGAAAACTGGCTTATGTCAGGCAACTCTGCAAGAGGTCATGACTTGATACTGGAGCAACTACCTTCAGCCTCCTGTTCACACTTGGCTTTTTATTTTGCAGATTGAGCAGGGTCCCTGTCATCTGTCCATCTGTTTCACCCCTAGGGATGCTATAGTCTCTTAAGCTCCATAACTCCCTCTATCTAGGTCAGGGAGACCTGCGCTCTGATTCCTGATGATGAATTCTCACTCCCCCTCGCGTCTGCAGTTGACCATCACCTCCTGGCCCCTGTTCCTTCGGTTTCCCTGTCTCCCCTTTGCTAGTGATGAGCTCACCTCTGTGATTGTTGCTTCACCTACCGTCCACTCTGGCCTGCATGTGGCCTGCACATGAACTTCTTAGTCATGCTGGTGCCTCTCCGACCAGCACACACCTCATGGCCTTGGTGAACAGTGTGTTCCCTGAGCACCTCTCTACAACACGGTCCCCCAGGACATCTTCTGGCCTCACACACCAGATCCACTCAGCAGGCTCCAACCTGAGCCTTCTAATCCACTGCCTGTCATGACGATTTAGGCGATTTCCACCCAACTTAGCCAACCTATTTTCCGTGCTTCTAGGATCCATCCTAGCACTGTGTCTATACCGTCTTTCAGGATCTCTGCCTGGCTGTTACATCCTGTATCCTGGGACACTACTCCTATATTTACAAACGACCTTGTATCCAAATTTGTGTTCCACTTCCCTTGATTCAGCAAAACTCTTGCCCATACCTACTGTCTCAGTTCCTACTGCGACATTTTGACTAGATACTGCGGGTTTATCAGGGTATTGTCCCTTTCCTCTCTTAGCGGCCGAGCACATCCCTCATCAGAGGACACTGTGATTTAACCCTAGTTATTGGCCTAAGGTCTGGGAGGAGTAGGACAAGGGAAAGGCCTCTGTACTGTGTTCAAACAAACAGGGTGTGCTAGCTCTTCATAGGGAGGAGTAGGCCACTTCCCACAGGGGAAGTCAAGGTTTTCAAGGCCTAGAAGTCCCTCTCTCATATGTCAGAGTCCCATTCTTTCCCTGCCAGAGTCCTGACCTTGGCATAGCAGACCTGCCTTAGTTGGGATTTTAACCATCCTTAGAGACTGACTACTTTTATGGTTCACGTCCTGGGTCCAGTCATCCACTTTCTTTATCATCCTGCTGCAGGAGGTGTGCCTCTGTATATGCTATCAAGGAGGTTGTGAGGGGCACCTGAGTGGCTCAGTGGGTTAAGCCGCTGCCTTCGGCTCAGGTCATGATCTCAGGGTCCTGGAATCGAGTCCCGCATCGGGCTCTCTGCTCAGCAGGGAGCCTGCTTCCCTCTCTCTCTCTCTCTGCCTGCCTCTCTGCCTACTTGTGATCTGTCTCTGTCAAATAAATAAATAAAATCTTTAAAAAAAAAAAGGAGGTTGTGACTTTCCCACTGAACTTTAAATTGCCAACTAATCACTTTGATTTTTTGTGATCTTTTTCCAGAGTGCCCATCAAACTTAGGAATAGCCACCAAATCCCATTCTCTTCAAGATTGCTACTCTCCCCATATTTGTCAAATGTCTGATATATCCCAATAGCTGATTTATTCCCTCTGACCAAAGGAAGTTTAACTGCACGGCTGCCTTGTGTCAGGAACTATCCATGCTCCACCTACCACCAGTGTGGGGTCCCCAGTGCCAGCCAGGCAATGAGTGGCCCCGATCAAAAATCCCATCATCACACCTGCTCCTGGCACCGATTGTCATAGGGTCTGGCTTCCCCAGGAAACAGACCTCAAGAAGGAGACTGGTGCACAGGATGTTTGTTAGGGAATGTCTTTGGGATCAACACTTGTAGAAAAGAGGTGGAGGGAAAGCACTGGACAGAGGAAGGAGGGACGCTATGTTACAGTTCCAACAAAGGCCTCAGCCAGCGCCACGGTAGGCTGTAGAACTAGAATATCTGGTTGACCCAAACTGGGTTAAAAGGGCTGGGCCTTTAGACCCATGAACTTATTAGTCATTGGATGTGGGTTTCCCTTGGAAGGAGGCATGATCTTAGGTGGAGCAGTTTTCTTTAGCTGAGGCATCCCATAAAGAGGGCTGATACCTGAAGGCCATCTAGATGTGCTCCCAGCAGCTGGAGGAATCATGTCCACACTGCTGAAAGGCGACCTGGGTGGCACATTACAGCATTCACCACGTGCACTGATGGCCATACTCTGTGAACATAAGCTTTCTGATCTGCCTTCTGATGGGTACAGAAAATAACACATTCAGCAGATAGCCACATACAAATGGCTGTGTTGATCTGCTCTAGCAAAGATACCACATCCGACAGAGCCGTTGACACTGCTCAGTAAAATTTGTGGTACCTCCTATTGTCACCTGCCATGACACATCTGTTTGTCTTTTGGGGGGGCCACACTAGTGAATTTAATAGGTATCTGATGGGGGAATGCATTGTACAAGTCTCTGAGAGCACTAAATTCTGCAATTCTCCCTAGGATGCAATGCGGTTTTTAACTTTTATTTACTTATTATGGTGGTAGGTGGTGGTGGGGAGTTTCTGAGGCTTCTAGTTGGCCTTTCCTATTACAACAGCTCTTACTCTACTGGCCAAACAACCAACACGAAGGTTCTGCCAACTGTTAAGCTTTTCCAATCCAGTTATACAGTCTGGAAGTACTCTCAAGCCATCAGGCAGTCCTGAAACAGCAGCGTGTGGGCAGCTGCTCGGCTGGCTCACTACACCGGCATAGATTGGGCCAATAAGAAGACCATGAGTCCAAATGACTACAGACAGCTTATTACATCGGCAGCAAAGCAAGATCATCATGGTGTCAGCTCTCCATGTCCCTAGTCCCGCAGGATGACACTGACTTGGAGGGGCTGGATGACAGACATGAACAGTGGGACTAGAGCAGTGTGGTTCTCAACTCCGGCTACACCTTGGAATTAGCTTTAAAAAAGAAAAAAAAAAAACCTTTTTTCCTGGGCTCCACCCCCAGAGACTGATTTAATTACTCTGTTTCGGAGCCAGGACATGGGTAGTTGTTTTTTTTTTAACTCCCCAAGTGATGTTAATGTACAACCAGGGCTAAGAACCATCGCCTTAAGCAGAGTACAGGCTTGTAACCTACACCCAGGTCTGCTCTTCAGACCTTAAGTATTTCTAACAGGTAACAAAATATTTCATTCTACAAAAGAGAGAGAAATGCAATGGCCCCAGAAGAGGAATTCGACTGACCTAAAGAGAGTGGCCTTTGAGCACTGGCTTCCAAAGTCAAATGACCTGGGTCAGATGACAGACGCTACCACTCAGCAGCCAGGTGATCTTGGGCAACTAACTTAACTTCCCTAACGTGAACATACCTGTCAGTAGGCCTGACATGTCACAGGTCCTCAGTGTAGGTTCATTAACTCTGAATATCAATCTCCAAACTTCATCTGTAAATTGAGGCTAATAATACCTGCCTGCCTGCCCATCTCCTAGAGTTGCCGTGAGACTAAAAATGGGTAACAGCCTTACCGGCCCTTTATAAACATTTAGGTGCTGTACAAATGGAAAGTGGAAACATTTCTTTTATGAAAATGTTAAACATGTATGTCCCTTTTTAAAAAATGTTTCTAAGAATCTTTGTGCCTGTGGTTTCACAGAGTCTTACAACAGCCTTAGAAGTAAACTGGGCAGTAAATTTACTGGTAAGAAAACTGAGACAAGACATTGTTTGATCGCACAAGGTTGTTCAGCAAAAGGAAGACTGGATCTTAGGACCAATAACTCAAGGCAGAGATTCTCTTCACCAGATAACACTCACAAAAGATCTAGTAATAGATCCCCCTCGGGGTGCCTGGGTGGCTCAGTGGGTTAAAGACTCTGCCTTCTGCTCAGGTCACGATCTCAGGGTCCTGCGATCGAGCCCCGCATCGAGCTCTCTGCTCAGCGGAGAGCCTGTTTCTTCCTCTCTCTCTCTCTCTCTGCCTGCCTCTCTGCCTACTTGTGATCTCTGTGTCAAATAAATAAATAAAATATTTTTAAAAAATTGATCCCCTTCAATGAGTAGGTTAGTCATCTGATCAGAGTTCTGTTGGACATGTTGGAACAATTTCTTTTACTTGTCCCTTTCAAAGTAGGATTTGTACCTGAGGAAATCCAATCAATACTCCTCAGTCCTTACTTACATGGTTAGTTTGGTTTTTAGTTTTCCTCCATTTTCTGTTATATTTCAGTAACCATGCTGGTGGCACACTGAGCAAAAGGAAAAGAAACCTTTCCCACCTCGCCACCATCACCCTTGTTTATTACCATGTACCATTCTTCTAATTTCAACACGAAAACCACAGTGGAAATGGCAACACTAAAGACTGATAGCCACAAGATGGCAGAGTTTACCATTTCATTTTTTCTTGCTTACATCATTTATTCACTCATTCATTCAAGAATTATTCTTTGAGTGTCTAAAATGTGCAGAGTGCTTTCTAGGGATCAAAAGGATTATAAAAGAGGTGAACGATGTGATATGGTTCCTGTCCTTCAGAAGCTTGGGGTAAGGGCGGTCTGCGAAGAAGAAAAAACACCTAAGAACATGTAAAAGAAAACACACATTACTGTGTGATTAGAGGCCAAGTAAGCGACACACACTGCCGTATGACTACAGTGAGCCGGAAAGTCTGCCTTGAGGGGAGAAGAACAGAGCTGGGGCTTGAAGGATCAATAGGTAGGTTAGAAAGAAAAACTTAATCCCAAGCAAAAGGACCAGTGTGGATCATGCGACTTGAAGTAAAAATGAGCACAAGTGCCCACGTCAGTGATGAGACTAACCTGGTTATAACAAACGGATATTGGGTAAACAAGATTGAAATAATTGAGATAAATTAGATCTCCATTGATTTTGCTAGAATGATGCCCACCATAAAAGATAAAGGTATCTATTGAGGCTGCCAATATCTATGGCCTTCAGGCAGGCAATTTGGTCACTGGCAATAGGGAGATAAACAAGACAGGCAAGATCTCTTTTCCGGAGCTTACAGTTTTATAGGAGGGACCGTCCAAAAATAATCACACAAAAAACTAATGCAAGTGTAATCAGTGCCAAAGTACAGAGTGTTAGGAGAGTAGATAACCTAAAGGCCTAATCCAGTCTGACAGATCAGAGGTTTCCCCAAGGAAAGATGAGCCAGGCAAAGAAAAGGAAAAAAGCATTTCAGGTCAAGTGAACAGTATATGAAAAGGCTTTAAAACTAGGAGGAGCAGGGTGCCTGGGTGGCTCAGCGGGTTAAGCGTCTGCCTTCGGCTCAGGTCACGATCTCAGGGTCCTGGGATGGAGCCCTGCATCGGGCTCTCTGCTAAGTGGGGAGCCTGCTCCCCACTGCCCCAACTCCGCTTGCCTCTCTGCCCACTTGTGATCTCTGTTAAATAAATAAACAAGACTTTAAAAAAAAACTAGGAGGAGCTTGGCAGAGCAAATAACTAAATGGCAACGGTAGCTAGAGCACAGAGAACTAGGAGGATAATGGCAGAGACCAGGATATGTAAGTCAATAGAGCCTGATGAAGAGAATGTCCTGACAGGCCTAGAAAGCCTACGGTCTTTACACTAAAGCCATGAGAAGTCTGTTTCCTTCTTCATAAAAGAAGGGATAGCAACACCTCACTCACAGGGTAGCTGTTTAGATGAAAGCGCATCACTGCCCTCCCTCATCCCACACCTCCTTATTGAATCTATCATCAAGTCCTATCAGCACCACTTCCAAAAAATCCGTCACCTCCTAAATACGTTTCCATCTCCACAACCATGACCCTGGTCTAAGTCGTCATCTCTAGCCTGGACAATTGCGAACTAGTCCTGACCTCCACCTTTGCTCCCCTCCCATGCATTATTCCTGCAGCAACTCCAGTGATCTTACTAAAATTTAAATTGGCTCACAGTAGGCCTTCGCTTAAAACCTTCCAGGGAGGAGTGCCTGGGTGGCTCAGTGGGTTAAAGCCTCTGCCTTTGGCTCAGGTCATGATCCCAGGGTCCTGGGATCGAGAGCCCTGAATCTCTGCTCAGCAAGGAGCCTGCTTCCTCCTCTCTCTCTGCCTACTTGTGATCTCTGTCAAATAAATAAATAAAATGTTTTAAACAAAAACCTTCCAGGGACTTCTCAGTGCTCTTAGCATAGAGACCACATCCTTAAGACACATGCTAATGCAGTTCCCCTCCCTGAGATGTGCATTTTAGCTCAACTCCCACCTCACTCCTCACCTACTTCTTTCCAACTCACCCTTACATCTTTACTTCTCTTCTTCAGGGAAGCCTTTCCTGATCCCAAGCCACCACCTATTTCACATTCTTTTCTTATTTGCCCACTGGGAACCATGTTATTTCTCTTCTGATCTCTTATCTCTGTAATTACACACTCATCAGAGCGATTGTTTAATGTCTGTTTCTGCCACTAAACTATAAACATGAGAAAGTAAGAAACACATATTTTTTGCTTACTTTTGGATCACCAGAACCTTGCCCAATCTTTGACATATAGGAAGCACTCAATGAATACTTGTTCATTAAATGAGGGAGGTGTTAGCTACTGCTACAAATAATACAATACTAACAATAATTGTTATTTAGGAGCCCCTGGGTGGCTCAGTTGTTAGGCGTCTGCCTTTGGCTCAGGTCCTGATCACAGGGTCCTGGGATCGAGCCCCACATCAGGCTCTCCGCTCGGCGGGAAACCTGCTTCTCCCTCTCCCACTCCCCCTTGCTTGGGTTCCCTCTCTCGCTCTCTGTCAAATAAATAAATGAAAATCTTTAAAAACAAAACAGATTATTTATTATTATTTTATTGTTATAAATGTGCCATTTCATTGTTATCCACAGGAACCAGCAAAATATTAGCACAGACCATGTTGCTGGTCAGTAAATACCCTACCACCTTTTACCAGAGCCCCTATTTCTATATTTAGCTCAATTATTATGTTCTAACTATAGCTACAACCCAGCATGGTTATGAGACTTTGAAGTCAGACTTGGCCTAAACCCTCATTCTGCTACTATCTTTGTGACTTCGAACAAGGTGGCCTTTCTGGGATAGATTTTGTTTTCAAACTCATGAGGCTTTCATGAGATCATGCATGGAAAGTGCTTAGTACAGAGTCTGGAATATAACATGCCTCAATAACATACTGTTACCTCATACAGATTGTTGATTAATCTGAACAAGTACCTATTAAAATGTACAGCAAGGGGCACCTGGGTGGCTCAGTGGGTTAAGCCTCCGGCTTCAGCTCAGGTCATGATCCCAGGGTCCTGGGATCGAGTCCCGCATCGGGCTCTCTGCTCAGCGGGGAGCCTGCTTCCCCCTCTCTCTCTGCTGCCTCTCTGCCTACTTGTGATCTCTCTGTGTCAAATAAATAAATAAAATCTTAAAAAATAAATAAAAAATAAAATGTACAGCAAAAACAGAATACCAAAGGATCTGTGACAGCATGCTATCTCCGCCTGCTGGGGGAAAATCTCCCTCAGGATATATGAACTTGATGGAATCTTCCTGTAATCTTGAGAAATAAAGGGAACTTTGAAAGAGGCAAGGAAGGCTACAGAAGGTAAAGTTGGGGGCCTCTGAGAATTCAAATGTACTATTTACCTTATGTGCTGCTAAGTCATCTGGAATGCAAAAAAACAATGGGTTAGGCCCCAAAGGGTTGGCTTCCTAAGTAGTAGCAAAAGTCTGAGGATACTGATCTAACATTCATATTTGACCTTATCTGTTCTTTGTACCATCACGTCCCTGATTTGCCAAAACTGATTACCTCAAGGAAACAACTGTCCATGTCCTTCGTTTGGGGAACTTAGCTAATAACCAATTTTCCTCCACTCAAATGTTATCTAATAGCCTTATTAAGTCATTGCTGCTCCTTTGGATAGATACCTTGAAAAAAGGGATCTTGGGGTAGGAAAAGTCTTCATGGTCAAAGGACTGAATCTCAAATGGTAGAATCTAAGAAAATAAGACGTGCGATGCAGGAAATGGACTCAGGAGGAGCACATGGCCCTGTGTGCTTCCTATCAGGCAACGGTTAGGAGCAGCTGTCTGCAATTAGATGGATGAGATTTCAAATCCAATTTCAAATCCTAGATCTGCAACATACAAGCCGGGTGATCCAGGTAAGTTAATTAAGTCTATGTCCTCAACTGTAAAATGGGGATAATAAGGATCTATCTTAGCAGGTTGTTAGAAAGATTAAATGAGATGACACAAAGTCATCCAAGAAGAGTCTGGTAGAATTTGAGTGCTCACATATTTTTATTATTTAATCATATCTGGTAATTAAATCGAAGCAGCCATGGCTTGTTCTTTTCTAGAACCATAATGGGCTCCTCCTAGAGAGCACTGGGGCCCATGTGGTTATCCACCCTACTTGTATTTCAGGCACGGGATGGATGGAGCAGCAATGAGGGGAAGCGGAAACGCAGACCTCTGGCCACTGGTCCCATTTGATGAGTAATACTGCATGGAGGACAGAAAAGGGGAAACTTAGATGAAACTCGTACCCCCCCCCCAATAAAAAATAAAAGGACAACTCAGTATAATTATGCCCAGATATCTGCTGGGAGAAGTTTGCAAACTAATTTTTACATAAAGGCCACCAGGCCAATTAACATCCTGAGTGCTTAAAGGAGTGGGATAGTGGGAAGAGGGTAACTGGCGAGAGTTTTGCTCTCTCCCAACCCCCACAATAACTACACTTAAAGCTCCAGACACCACCTCCCTTCCCAGCAAACCTCAGTTTTTCAGACCCCGTCAGTCTGTTCCCAGAAACCTCAGGTGGTTTCAGCTTCCATTGACCTTAAAAAACAAAAGAGCCATTATTTTACCAGCAAAATGAGTTTATTGAGGAAGAGCAAAGGAATTGTAATTCAGAACAAGCAAACTGTGGCAACCCAGAAAACAGAGGAGAGGGGCTTGCTTTCCCAGGGGAAAAGAGGAAGCTTGGAGGGACTGTTTCATTGAGCTCTCACTGACTGGGCTGTTACTGGGCAAGGAGAAATTCATCCTTCTTCAGGCTGGGATACCAAAAGCAAGCTGCTTCCTGCTGGGAATTGTGGGATAATGCTTCTTCCAGCAAGAGGTAATGCATGAGAGCTCCCCCTTCAGGGCTTCCTGACTCCATTTTAAATAAAGTCTCCTTTATTTTCACATCTCCCCCTTTTGATCAAGGTCTTTCTCAAAAGCACTGCTAATCAAAAGTCAGGATTGTGTTGTGGTGGGTTTTTTTTTTCATATTTAGTGTATTCAGACCTTGGTGTCAGAAAAGATCTTTCCTGGTGGTCATGTCCCACATGAGAGGGAAAGTGCGTAGAATGGAAACCGGTGAAGTCACATTTGAGTAACAGGGAAGAGTAGGAGGGAGAACTGTCAGGCATTTCCCGTCTGAGATAAATGGTGAAGATCATCTCAAAGTGCTGAGCTAGCATCACCCTACTGGGCACGTTATTTCTACGAAGGTTTGAGAGGCAATAGGTATAAGGCTTAAAACTGATTATAAAGGTGTGCCTGGGTGCCTTCATCAGTTGAGAGTCTGACTCTTGATCTCAGGGTTGTAAGTTTGAACCCCACACTGGGTGTAGAGATTATTTAAAAATAAAATCTTCGGGACGCCTGGGTGGCTCAGTTGGTTAAGCGGCTGCCTTCGGCCCAGCGTCCTGGGATCGAGTCCCACATCGGGCTCCTTGCACAGCAGGAAGCCTGCTTCTCCCTCTGCCTCTGCCTGCCATTCTATCTGCCTGTGCTCACTCTTGCTCTCTCTCTCTGACAAATAAATAAAAAATCTTAAAAAAAATAAATAAATAAAAAATAAAATAAAATCTTTTAAAAAACGGTTATACAGGGGCGCCTGGGTGGCTCAGTGGGTTAAAGCCTCTACCTTCGGCTCAGGTCATGATCCCAGGGTCCTGGGATCGAGCCCTGCATCAGGCTCTCTGCTCAGTGGGGAGCCTGCTCCTCTCTCTCTCTCTCTGCCTGCCTCTCTGCCTACTTGTGATCTCTGTCAAATAAATAAATAAAATCTTTTTAAAAAAAAAGATTATACAGAATAAGATGAGCAGAACTTCTGCAAGGCTAAAGGGGTCTTTTCCAAAAGCCTTGCAGGGGCACCTACATGGCTCAGTTGGTTGAGCATCAGAGTCGGTTTTGGCTCAGGTCATGATCTTGCAGTTACGGGATCCAGCCCCGAGTAGGGCTCCATATTCAGTGCGGAATCTGCTTCAGATTCTTTTTCCTTTCCCCTTTGCCCCTCCCTGCTCACTCACTTTTGCGCTCTCTCACTCAAATAAATAAAGATCTTTTTTTAAAAAGCCTTGCAAAGAGGAGTTAGTTCATTTGTATTTCCCTTGGATACAGGGAAACAAATAATAAATAGGGAAGAACAAATCGAAGTTTCTGGTGTCAGATCCAACAGCCAGAAAGGCTCCCTTTTTGCAATAGATTAGAAAGAAAGGGAGGAAATAAGGGAAGAAGCAACAGCGAGAAAAAGGTATACAGGTCTGGTCCAGTCATCTTGGGAAAGCTGTCTCCTTCAGCTGTCGTCTGCTTCAATTCCTGGAAATCTTTATTTCCAGGTACTCAGGGGATATGCAGATCTAGTCAGGGTTTGGCGCTTTCGTTAGATGTGACACACGGGAGGCTGCCTGGCTGGCTCAGTCAGAGGAGTGTGCAACTCTTGATCTCGGGGTTGTGAGTTCGAGCCCCACGTTGCGTGGAGAGATTAGTTTAAAAATTAAATCTTAAAAAAAAAAAAAAGGATGTCACACATGGATCCAAGAGTCATTCCTTGGAGTTTCGCAGTACAAGGGTTGGTTAACAGTACCTGAAAGGGGCCTTTCCAACAGGGTTGAAGAGAGTCTTTCTGTAGCTGTCTTTTCCAATAGATGAAATCTCTGGACTGCAAGGTATGACGCTTTAGATCTTTGTCTCCCAGGAACGCACTGTGGAAAGATTGTTCTACTAAAGCGTGGTTATTCTCAACAGAAGCAACTGGGCCTGTGCAATATTAAGTATATTGTGGATTGAAAGCAGGAGCCAAGTACATGGGCCATCCTGTGATTATCTCAAAAGGTAAGAGTTTATAGGTTCCAAAGAGGTAGATCTAAAATGTAGGAAAACTAATGGCAGTGCTTTTGGCCGGATTATTTGAAGATCCTCTACAAATTTTGCTTAACAATACCATTAGTGTGTTTGACTTGCCCTGAGGATTAAGGGTAGCAAGCACAGGAGAAATGTTGTAACAATACCCAAACAACACAAACCTGTCGAAGCAAGTTCTCTGGTCACTATGAAGTTTGAGGGGAATTCCCCAGGTATGGATGATTTCTTCTAGCAGGATTTTAGCCACAAAAAAATAGCAGTCCAGTGAGAAAACATACAAACCATTATCAAGACAAATTTATATGCCTGAGATGGAGGAAGCTGAATAAAATCCATCTGCCAAACTTTGATCCATTGGGCAATTTATAGTGTCCAGAAGCAGTGCACACAGGTTTTCCCAAATTATATTTAAAGGCAGGTAGGGCAAGCAGAGTAGGCACTGTGTGGTCTTGTTAACATTTACCCACCAGTATTGGCTCAAAGGTTTTCATTTTATCAGCAGACCAATGATTGGATATGTATACAGTAGTCAGTACTAGGAATTTTAGAGTCTGTGGCAGCACTGGGTTATTATTTGGCCCAACCCAGAGTTTTCTTTTTTTTTTAATTAAACCAGCAGTCATTAGGTTTTCAATATTGTTTTTTCCTTTTCTGGGGCTGATGGTTGGGCATCTCTAGTCAATTTTTCTAGATTATCATTTGGGGAGGGGAACATCCCTTTGACCATGACAGAGGTTTGGCTGTTGGTTCCTTCAAGAGCAGCATTCTTTGCGGAAATATCAACTAGGTGGTTTCCTCTGGCCTCCAAGGAATCCAGCTTAGAATGTGCAGGGACCTTAACACCAGCCAAAGCACCTGCCAAGTGTATGGCATCTGGTCATTTCTGAACATAAAGGCCATTTTTAATTTTGTCCCCACTAGAAGTGAGGAAGCCTCACTGTTTCCTTAGCATTCCAAAGTCATGAGCTACTTCAAAGGCCTACCTACCGTCAGTATAGATATTTGCAGTTTTGCCCTTGGCTAAAATGCAGTCCGAGCAAGAACAGCCTGTTGGGCCAGGATAGCTGAGGGCAAAGGTGCTGTCTTAATGGCTTAAAAAAAAAAACCTGTATAGCATACCCAACATAATATTTACCATTTCCACCTTTTAAATAAGAACTATTGGTAAACCACCAAAAGTCTGCTTTATGCAAAGGAGCTTTCTGTAAGGCATCACTGGGAGTCTGACAGTCATGAAGAGGACTGTCCACAGAGAAGGAAGAATGGTGGCAAGGTTAAGATTAGTACAGCAAGAGAGTCTGGAATCCAATTTTTCACAGCAGCCAGCTAGCCTAAGAAAACCTTACAACTGGCTTTGTTTTGGGAAGTTCAGGATGCCACGAAGCCTATTTGGATCTATGTGTAGCTTTTGTTCTGAGCTCAGGTGCTGCAAATATCAAACCAGAGTCTGAGAAAACTGCAGTTTCTCCATGGAAACCTTGCGTTCCTTTAAGGCTAACAGCCTAAACAGGTGGATGCTGTCCATGCAACGCCTGAGAAGGGGATCAGAGAAGCAAGTGCCTGAGTATTGTAATAAGGCAGAACTTCTAGTTAACTTTGTATCTTCTAAATCCACTTTTAAGGTTTGGGAGAAGTAGGAAGGACTTTCAGCAAAACTCTGGGGCATTACTGCCCAGGTACACTGCTCTTCTTCCCCAAAAGGCAAAGAGATAATTGACGGACCTTATCCACAGAGAAATCAATCACAGTGAAAAATCTGACGGAACAAATACAAGATGTTGAAGGGTCATCTGATTCACCGAGCTGGCAATTTTGGTTGTTGCTATCAAATTCTAGAATTATCTCCCCCTTTCAGGGGAAAAAAATTCCAATGTTATTTTTCTAAGAAATCTCAGCCCAAAAATTGAATAGGGCAGAGGAACTAAGAAGAAAAGAAATAGTATCTCTTAAAGGAAACAAGAAGGAATTGGTTTAAAGATAGGAACGGGCTGAGGTTTATTAGCGACCCCCACTACTTGAACCATTTCAGTACTTCGAGCAGGGGCTGTTTAATAACAGTAGGACTGCGCACTGAGAGCGCAGGTCTGGTGTCGACAAGGACAGAAAGAGATTCATCCCCAGTCTGGAGAGTTTCTTCTCCAAGCTGGTAAAGAGGAAGAATTGGGAAAAGCCCCTGTAATTCTTCAGAGTTGTGTAGTTGGGAGTTCGGAGGGCACTGGAAAGGCTGGTTGGAGGGCTGAAGGCACTTAGAACACTTACCTTTGGAACAATCTTTCTTCCAATGTCCAATAATGGCAGAGACCAGGAGGGGGTTGCTTTTGCTTAAGGCGCTTCCATTTGTTAGAGTTGAAAATTAAAGATTTTAGTGGTCTTCCTTGTAGCTGAATTCTCTGGGGTGTGGGTGGGCCACTTTGCTAAAATAACTGAATCTGAAGCAGACAGTTTCCCATTTCATCCTAGTCCTTTCAACTACAAGGGAAAAATCCAGATTCAGCCCTTTAATGAACACAGAATTGAAGGGTACCTGAGTGGACTTAACATCCATAGGGAGGCCACAATTTTCCTGAAAAACAGTTTGGAGGTGACTGTAATAGTCCTGCAAAGGTTCATGGGGTTTCTGAGTGCAAGCTTCAATCTTATTCCAATCAACAGGTTTTGGGAAAGCCCTAGGGACTGCCCAGTGAAGCTGTTTAGCAATTGCCCAGCCTGATCATATAAAAAGGCCTGGGGTTGGTCTCTCATTTAAGGTTCTAAAGAGGGGCGCCTGGGTGGCTCAGTGGGTTAAAGCCTCTGCCTTCGGCTCTGGTCGTGGTCCCGGGGTCCTGGGATCGAGTTCCGCGTCGGTCTCTCTGCTCCGCAGGGAGCCTGCTTCCTCCTCTCTCTCTGTCTGCCTGCCTCTCTGCCTACTTGTGATCTCTGTCTGTCAAATAGATAAATAAAATTAAAAAAAATAATAAAGTTCTAAAGATGGGACACCTGGGTGGCTCAGTCACCTTTGGCTTAAGTGTCTTAAGCACCTGCCTTCAGCTCAGCTCATGATCCCAGGGTCCTGGGATCTAGTCCCGCATGGAGCTCCTTGCTCACCTGGGAGCCTGCTTCTTCTTCTGCCTGCCACCCTCTCCCATGCACCTCCCCCCACCCCGCTTGTGTGCCTGGGGCTCTCTCTCTAACAAATAAATGAAGTCTTTGAAAAATAAAGTTCTAAAGATTTTTCAGGATCATCCCAATTAGCTGTTTGCATCCAGTGCTGGGCCTGGCCTTCAACAAGCATGTGAACTAGCCGATACAAATCTGAGGAAGCTGGTTGGTAGGTCTGAATGACTACATTAAATTCTTTGGCAAACCTATGAGGATCTTCAGTAACTCCCGGAAAATCTTTCACCATGGCTCATAGTTCAGCCTTAGTCCAGGGGACATGGGAAATCAGGAGCTTAGCATCAGGATCCTCTTAAGAGTGTAATTAAAGGGGCCAGTTTTAATGGGTTCAGAGAAGGGAGAGGGGAGAGGTTCAGAGAAAAAGGGAAGTTCACTGAGAGAACAAGAATGAGGAAGCAGAGGGTATAAAGGATGTAGAGACGGAGACAAAGAGGACAGGGGAGGAAGAAAGAGGCCTGAAAGGGTTTTTTTGTCTTCTTTCAATTGTTCACCTTGGTTAATTAAAATGGTATTTTTTTTAAAGAGATGATTTTAGAGTCTTGGATACTCTTGGAAGCTTCAAGATATTAATTGAAATAGGTATCCCATTTAGTTCATTTTATTTTAGAGCTTCTAATTTGGTTCTAAGAAAATCAAGTTTGGGAAGACCCAACGTTCCCCATAACAGCCACTGGAGTCCTAAGTAATTTTTTGTTAAGTTGGTCCAATTAGTTAAAAATGCACATGAGGAGGGACCATAGTTTTAAACATAAAACTGGCTGGGGTCCAGAAGGACGACCCTCCTGAGAGAATTTAGCAGATTGAGAACCCATTACTCAAAACCAGAGGTTCAGGAAACAGAAGAGTACTCACGAGGAAGGACAATAGTTTCATTAAAAAAAAATTTTTAAACAGATCCAAATAAAGTCGGAGAGCTCAACCAGAAGGAGGGAGCTCAGATCCGAGAGTGGACTTACCGAACTAAAGGCAAGGTGACTCACAGAAGCAGAAAGCACAAGGCACTAACGTAGGTACTTTACATGGTTCTGGGGGTCGTGACTTCCTCAGGGGTTCCTCTCCTTTGGGTCTCATCTGGGTCACCATGTAATGCTGACCTTAAAAAGCAAAAGAGCCAGTTATTCTACCAGCAAAATGACTTCATAAGGGAATAGAGAGGAACTGAAACTCAAGACAAGAAAACTACGGTGAACCACGGGCAAATCCAGAAAACAGAGGAGAGGGGCTTGTTTTTTGGGGGGGAAAGGAAGAAGCTAGGAGGAGCTGTTTTGCTGAGTTCTCACTGGCTGGATTGTTGCTGGGCCATGAGAAATTCTTCCTCCTGCTGGGGCATTATAAGGTAAGCGGCTTCCTCTTGGGGAATGCGAAGTATTCTTCTTACAAGCAAGCAATAATTCATGAGAGCTCCCCCTTCAGGGCTTCCCGACTCAATTTTTAAATTGTTTTTGAAGATTTACTCTTTATTTATTTGAGAGCGAGCGAGAGAGATCAAGCACATATGGCTCGTAGGGGCATGTAGGGGCAGAGGGGGAGGGAGAGAATCTCAAGGAGACTCCCCACTGAGCATGGAGCCCAGTGCAGGGTTCAATCTCACAACCCTAAGATCAGGACCTAAGCCGAAATCATGAGTGGGATGCTTTACTGACTGAGCCACCAAGGCACCTCCTGACTCCATTTTAAATGAGGTTTCCTTTATTTTCACACTTCCCACTTTACAGCCTCTGGACTTTTCCCAAGTCCTTCCTCCCAATCAAAATGTACCTGTTTATTCCCTCAAGGCCATACTCTTTACTAGATGTCAGTGATATAATTCAGGGTTAAGGCATACTAATATTTTGATGATTTTGTTTCCCACGTGCCCCACATAAGAGTTTCAAGGGATGTATTATGAAGAATATTAAATCAGCAAAATGTTTAGGGACCTAGTATGAACCTGGCATTGGCCTAGATCCTATAGCACTGTATCAAAGAACAGAAAAATTGCCACTTGGGCGCCTAGGTGGCTCAGTCGGTTAAATATCTGACTCTTGATTTTGGCTCAGGTGGTGATCTCAGGGTCGTGAGATTGAGCCCCACATGAGACTCCGTGCTCCATGCTGTCTACTTCTCTCCCTCTCTCTCTCCCTCTGTCCCACCCCCTGCTCACACACTTGCACACTCACCCTAATAAATAAAATCTTCTAAAAATACTTTATAAAAAAAGAAAAATTGGAGGCGCCTGGGTGGCTCAGTGGGTTGGGGCCTCTGCCTTCGGCTCGGGTCATGATGCCGGGGTCCTGGGATCAAACCCCGCATGGGCTCTCTGCTCAGCAGGGAGGCTGCTTCCTCCTGCCTCTCTGCCACTTGTGATCTCTGTCAAATAAATAAATAAATCTAAAAAATAAAAATAAATAAATAAAAATTGCCACACTGGATCTATCCAGCCTACTACCCAGTAGCTAACATTATCAACAAAGGACATGCTCTGGAAAAAACAGAGATGGGGCGCCCAGGTGTCTCAGTCGGTTAAGTGTCTGTCTGCCTTTGGCTCAGGTCATGATCCCAAGGTCCTAGGTTTGAGACCCATGTCAGGCTCCATGTTCAGTGGGAGCGTCTGTTCTCCCTCCACCCTCTCCCTGCTTATGTGCGCACTCATGCGCACGCTCGCGCGCGCTCTCTCTCTCTCTCTCTCTCTCTCTGAAATAAATAAATAAATAAATAAAATCTTTTTTTTTTTTTTTAAGAAAGAAAAAACAGAGATGGAACATTCAAACAACCTTTCTGGCAGGCTTTTTAGACAAACATAGAAAAACTTTAAAAATTTACACACTCTTTGACCTATAATTTTACTCCTAAGAATTTATGCTAAGGAAGTAATAAGAGATACTTACAAAGATCCAAGTGCAATGATGTGTATTACAACATTATTTATAATACTGAAACAATCTAAATATCCAAAATAGAGGGCAAGGTAAATAATTTATTCTGTATTCATATGATAGAATGTTGTGTACATTAAATTCCTATTAACACAAGATTCTTTGACAACAAGAAAAATCTATTGCTGATTGTGAAAACTTTTTTCAAGATTTTATTTATTTATTTAACAGACAGAGATTACAAGTAGGCAGAGAGGCAGGCAGAGGGCGGGGGCGGGGGCGGGAAGCAGGCTCCCTGCCGAGCAGAGAACCTGATGCGGGGCTCGATCCCAGGACCCTGGGACCATGACCCGAGCTGAAGGCAGAGGCTCAACCCACTGAGCCACCCAGGCACCCCTGATTGTGAAAATTTTTGTTTTAATTTTATGCATAGAAAAAGACTGAAAAGATTTACCTTAAATGTTGAAAATGTTTGTATCAAAATGATAGGAATATGAATGACCTTTTTTAAGCTAAATGTTCTAAATTTCCACAAGAAACATTCTTTTTTAATTGGGAAAAAACAATGCAATTGTCTATTTTTTAAATGGAATATTCCCTGAGAAAGACTATTTGTCTTCCTTAAAACATCAAAGAGTAACAATATTCCCAGCTTCTCCTAATGTAGACATTTATAGTTTTTCATTTGTAAATGTGTTTAACAGTTTTAATCCTTTTCACTTCTGGTAACTTGTACTATTATTTTTTTTTAAATAATTACACATTCAACAAAGGTTACAAGGAATGTAGAGAGAAGTCCCATGCACTGTTTCCTCAGTAGCCCCAATGTTAGTATCTTATACAACTATAGCACAATATCAAAACCAAGAAATTGACACTGGTACAATCCTCAGTGCTTATTCAGATTTCACCCATTATACATGTACTCATTTGTGTCTGGGTGTTGTGTGTGGGTGAGTGTTTAGCTCTATATAATTCTATCAGATGTATAGCCTTGCATAACAACCACCACAATCAAGATCTAGAACATTTTCATCACAAGGATCCCTCATGTTGTACTTTTTTAAAGATTTTATTTATTTGAGAGGGAGAGAGAGAGAGGGCAGGAGTGGAGGAGGCACAGATGGAGAGGGACAAGCAAACTCGGCGCTGAGCATGGAGTCCAAGGTGGGGCTCGATCCCATGACCCCGAGATCATGACCTAAGCCAAAATCAAGAGTCAAATGCAAAATTTTTAAAAACCAGTATTTTTCCTTATATTAACTGGTACAACTCCTTGCTACCCTTTCTATATTTTTTGCCTGCATCATTTGATCACCTCTTCATCTGATACCACTTTTGTACTATAATGTCTATAGAGAGAACAGGGAAATAATTTAGTATTTCCAAGAGTACAGAAAAGTTTTGGTTTTTTTTTTTGGTTTCCCAACCCATCACTGATTAATGTCACATATATATTCTGGGTTGTCAATTTTGGGAAAACCTCTATCAAATCTGGGAAAACCTCTATATTATTTCTTGTCTATATAAGCTGTAAGATTTTAGGCTATGTCAAGTTTTTTATGTAATGACTAATCTTAGATAAGCTTTAGACTTACTGGTTTAAAAGTGTTCCCTCAAGTCATTTCTACACTGGTACAGCCACCCATAGCTTAACTATATGCAGAAGTGATAGGAAACCACATAAATATATCCTGTTAACCCCAAATAAATGTATCTGAAACACAATTTCTCTTTGGTTGGATCACCAAAAGAATAGTTCCAGTAAAGGGGCACCTGGGTGGCTCAGTTAAGCGCCTGCCTTTGGCTCAGGTCATGCTCTCCACATCCTGGGATCCAGCCCTACATTGGGCTCCCTGCTTGGCAGGGAGTCTGCTTCTCTCTCTCTCTCTCCCTCTGCCCCTCCTCCCTGTTCATTATCTTTCTCATAAATAAATAAATAAATAAATAAATATCTTTAAAAAAAAAGAACAGCTCCAGTAAAAATAGAACTCCCCACAGAAAGCAAACAAAGGCAGAAAATATAAAAGGAGCAAAAGTGTTTTCTGGGTTGGATGAAGATAGACAACACTTATTTTTAATACATCTTGTGTCTTCACAAGTAGATTTAAAGTTAATAAAAGTGTTCCCCTCTCATATACATTTAAAGTAGTCTAATGTTGTGAATTCCCTTGACAGAATTGGGAAAACCATGTCCCAGAAGAATAAAGCCTCAGAGGAAAACTGCTGGAGCTAATCTATGGCAGGAAAGCCTTCCCCACCACTGAATTCTAAACCTGTTCTGTGGCAAAGACTTCTGAAAGGAGGACAGCAAAGACAGAAATCCTAAGGAAAAGATGGGATGGATTTAGCCATACTAAACTTAAAAACATCCATGAGGTTAAAACAAAACCAAACATAAAAAAAAAATACCCCTTGGGGAAAAAAGTACTTGTTATTCATATTACAAAGGAGAGCACCACTACAGAAATCAATTAAAAATTTTAAAGCATGAGGAATCCAACAGAAAAACTGGCAAAGACCATGAACAGGCCATTCACAAAGAAAGAAATTCGGAAAGGCAAAAATTGAAACAACTGCCAAGGAGTTAGGGAAACCAATCCCTCTCACCCTGCTGTTGGGAATAGAAATTAGTTCACCTTTATACAAGGCTACTTGACAATATAAAAATGACACTAACACTTATAATAAGCTTGCTCTTTGCTAAGTACTCTGTGTGCTTTGCACTGATTAAGTTATTCAATTCTCACTCAGCTTTATTGATATTCAATGTGCATCATTTGTAATAATGAAAACTCAAGACTCCTCAGACCCCCAACAATAGGGTTGGTTAAATGGATCATGGAACCTCTCTCTAGACAACAGGACTGAAATGATCTGTATTTACCACATGAAAAGCTCTCAAAATATAGTTTGGTTTTTTTCAAAGATTTTATTTATTTATTTGACAGACAGAGATCACAAGTAGGCAGATGAGGCAAGCAGAGAAAGAGAGAGGAAGGGAAGGAGGCTCCTGACGAGCAGAGCACCCAATGCAGGGCTCAATCCCAGGACCCTGGGATCATGACCCAAGCCGAAGGTAGAGGCTCTAACCCACTGAGCCACCCACACGCCCTAGTTAAGTTTTTTTTTTTTAAAGACTACAGAAGAGAATATATGATGTACCATTTCTATTGTATAAAAACTGCATGAATAAATACCTATCTACATATGGATATGTATGTAGAAAAATCTTGGGG